TGACTGAGGGGGGTGACTGAGGTGACTGAGGAGAGTGACTGAGGTGAGTGACTGAGGTGAGTGACTGAGGTGACTGAGGTGACTGAGGTGAGTGACTGAGGTGACTGAGGCGACTGAGGTGACTGAGGTGAGGAAGGCTTGGGCTGCAGACAGGCCTATGGAGCATTTTCTCAGTGATGGACGGGGAGGCCCAGCCGTTGCAGGTGCTGCCACCCCCGAGCTGTGGCCCCTGGTCATGAGGAAGCAGCTGAGCGAGCATGGGGAGCAGGGCAGCGAGCAGCACCCAGCGGCCTCTCGTCAGCTCCTGCTCCAGGACCCTGCCCTGCGTCGGTGAACGGCAGTGTGGACGTGGAGGACAGACCCTTTCCTCCCCGACTCTTTCAGCGGTCAGGGTTCCCGCACAGCAACAATAACAACAGTGATGGTGAGGCAGCTGGCCGCAGTTGGCTGCACGGAGAAGCTTGTGGGCGCCAGCCTCAGTCCTCCTCCTCCGGAACCGAGTCGCGCCAGCACAGCGGGAGCCTGGACCCTCGCTCCAGGAGGCCGCCTCCTGCCCGAGCTCGCAGGCACACACGGAATTAAAGGGAAAAGCCTGCGTCTGCAGAAGGAACCCTTCCAAGACGAGGCCGCACTGTCAGCGACAGGAAGTCGGAGCTGAGCGGGTCCCCAGGAACCGTGTCCGGAAGCTCACCGCGTCCCGCCCCCGGCCTCCAGACACAGCACACAATTACCAGAACTAGATACTTTCAAGTTAAAGCTTGAAGGTCGGGAAGAAAGGCCTGATCTATCCTCCCGCCTCCCTGCCTGACTGCTCACCTGCTCGTTTGTTTTGAGCGGGGTGCCGAGCAGCCTAGGCTGGCCTGGAACTCTTAAGAAGCCGAGCGTGACCTTGAACTCCTGATTCAGCCTCCAGTTTCCAGTGCTGGCAGTCAGGCGCTCCTCCCCAGGTCTCCACGAGGGGGCGCTCCGTGAGGTCTCCACCAGGGGGTGGCCATCCTGAGGTCTCCACCAGGGGGCGCTCCTCCCCAGGTCTCCACCAGGGGGCGCTCCCTGAGGTCTGCAGGCTGAAACCCGCCCAGGGAAGGCACCTGTGCAAGGTGACCTCACCCTGTTTGGTGAAAGGCAGCACAGTGGCTCGGGCCTCTCTCCGGAATGGTGTGGCCAGAATCCGCGCCAGCCATGTGACCCTTAACCTCCCTGTTCCTTGCTCTGTTGAGAAGGAACTAACAGACTAAAGCAGTGCCTGCGTGTGCGGGTCCAGATGAAGGCCTTCCACTGTGGCCTGCGTTAGCTTTCTGTTGTGTGTCAGGCACCTGACGAGCCGAGAAGAGGAAAGATTTCTGTGGCTCCTGGTGCAGAGACGGCTGCTCTTGCCTGGGCCGGGGGCAGGACAAGCCCCAGGGAACCTCTGGGGCCTGGCCTGCTTCCACTCACTCTCAGCTCCCAGAGCACCCAGCCTGGGGCATGAACACCTCCACCCTTCAGGAGAGACTCCAACCACAGAAACAACACAGCAAAAGCTTCAAGTCTTTTCTGAGAGGAAACCTCATCTGGTCCACCTACTTGTGAGCCCCAAGGGAGAAAGATCACACGTTCAAGACCAGCCTCAGCAACTTAGTGAGACTGTCTCGAATTCCAACCTTAAACAATGAAAAAGAATGGGGTGCTGTAATGGATGTTTTGGTTTCTTTCAAAATGAAGTTATGTTTTGTAAATGTTTTTGTTTTAGTCTCAAGTGTGGGGTTTTAGTCCACAGCTGATAAGTGCCTCCTGCTGGTCTTGGTAACAGCCTGCCTCGTGCAGCACAGAGAGGGGCATGAGGACTCTGAGAGATATAAATAGGAGCCCAGAAAAAAAGTGTGGCAGTTTGGAGAAACCAGAGAACGACAGTGTGGCGGTTTGGAAAGGCCCAGGAGAGACGCTTCACGGCACATGGATGGAGACTGGCGTAGCCCCAAAGAACCCATCAACCTTAAACAGCGAGAGAAGTAAAGGGGTCTGCACCACTCTCCCCACTAACCTTCTCTCGTCGGGTTGAAGGGTTGGGGGGGAGCCTAGATACTCCAAATAAGATAGTTTAAAAATGAGCACAATAGGGTGTACCTCAAAATCAGAGTACATAGAATGAAGTGAGGGCCTGGGGTGTGCTCAGTGGTGGAGCCCCTGCCTAGAATCCCCCTTGCAGGACTGGGGGTGGCTTGGGGGTAGAGCCCCTGCCTAGGATCTCCCAGTGAGGGGCTGGGGTGTGGCTCAGGGGTAGAGCCCCTGCCTAGAGTCCCCCAGTGAGGGGCTGGGGGTGGCTCGGGGGTAGAGCCCCTGCCTGGAATCCCCCTTGCAGGACTGGGGGTGGCCTTCACAGACCATAGGTTCTGGCCGATCTGCCCCCTTGTCCGGCCTCTGCCTTGAGGCTGCCCTCCCGCTCGTCCTCCCCGTGCTGTGGACTCTGGGGTGAGTGAGGGCTTGGCAGGGAGGCAGCGAGCGCAGCCCCTGAGGAAGGCCGCTCTCACAGGGCCGCTGTTTCCGTGCTCTGGGGGCTGTGCTGTCTGTGGGGTGTGTCTGTGGCGGCGACCTGTGCGGCCACTCGGAGGAGGAGGGCAGATGTGGTTGTGGTTCCCCTGTAGACAGGCTCTCTCCTGACCCTGGAGCGGCCAGCAAGCCCCCGCATCCGGGGTCTCCACCCACCACGCCGAGGGACCAGGCCCGCTTCTCAGCTGTGAGAAGCTCACACGCACTCACATGCCCATGCAGCCTCTCACCGGGGAGCTGTGTGCCTGGGTCGATGCTGGGGCAACTTTTCTGTCCCTCTGTGTTGGGGCGCTGGGCGCGTCTCCCGGAAGCACACACCACCCGGGGCTGGAGGCTCGGGGCCTGGGCCGCTCAGGCTCCACTCTCCACAGGGGAAGCCAAGCTCGAGGTCCAGGCCTGGGGGGCTCGAGGTCCAGGCCTGGGGTGGGGGGCTCGAGGTCCAGACCTGGGGGGGCTCGAGGTCCAGGCCTGGGGGGGCTCGGGGTCCAGGCCTGGGGGGGCTCGAGGTCCAGGCCTGGGGGGGCTCGAGGTCCAG